TTTGGGAGACGGAGCCCAGTGCAGGGCTGCTGGCTGAGGAAAGGAGGCTCGGTACGTGTGCAGTAGGCTGGAAAAGGCACCGAGCATTATGTGGCAGCAGCCATGTCCCCCAAGGTGCTGGGCTAGCCCTCTAACCATCTATTGACAGCTGGTTGGGCCAGGGAAGCCCTGCCAAGCTGCCTGGGGAAGGGACATATGAGCAGGGACTATCCCTGTTGGCTGGCTCAGGCTGAGGCAGAGGGTGGCACTGACTGCTTGCCTTGCGGTGATCAGCTCAGGGACTGTCAGGAAGGTCTCCCAGACCATCACCAATGCAAAGCAATCACCCAACACCAACCACAGCCAGGAGGAACCACAGAAAGATGCCAGCCAGGGCAGGGACCAGGTGATCCTAATCCAAACCTGCAGCCCTCCCTCCATGCTTGTCTAGCCCCTCTACTAACAGGGACTGCAAGGGCCCAGGGTTGGTGCTTTGCCAGGGCTAGGACCCTCTTCATTCCTGATCACAACAGCTGGGACAGAAGATAGCCCTACATCTGGCAGAGCTGCCGGCTCCACTTGAAGCTCTGCTACCCAGGTCCCCTCCAGCCACCTCCTGGGTACAATCCACAATCAAGAGAGCCAGCACGCTTCAGGCTTGGGTGTTGAGGGGCTGTCATGGCAACAGGGAAGAGGAAGGAGGAAGGAAAGGAGCTCATGCGGGTGGGGACAGAGCCAAGCCAGGTGGGGAAGGGTTTAGTGACAGCAGATGTGAGGGGAAACAAAGGACTCTGTGCTCAGCATGTCGCTTGTGCCAGGCTGCAATAAACCCTGGGTACCCAGCTACACTACACTCTCAACTAGAGTTTGCAGGAGGAATAGTAAGCGTTAACAGTTCTAATAGCTCTCAAGCCAAGCACCCAACCAGCACCATGCTCACTTTGCTGCATCTTCTCCATCCTCCTCCTTGCAGAAGTCAAGAGGCACCTATCCCAGACCTGGACCGTCACCTTTCTCCAAACTCAGGGCTAGTGACCAAAGTGCCCCTCAGTCTCAGAGAAAGCCTATCAGGTCACCCTGTCTGTGCCTCAGCTAACACCAGCATCTTTTGCCACCACTGGTTAGCCTGGCCTAGCACCCTGCAAAGACCTGCCTTTTACCACCTCCACTTGGCTGGAGCCCATGGAGGGCATGAGACCAGGACAGGGGGACAGCAAAGACGCTGGCTGCAGACTACTACTGTGTCCTGCAGTTACTCAGTCACAGACACACCAGGCACATCATACTCACACACACACTCCCCCCTCCCCAGACTCAGCATCGCCAGTGGTGTGGTGCAGGACAGGCAGCCAAGTTGCTCACAGAGGCTGCGTGGGCCTGACATGGGGCCAAAGCTCTCAGCCAGGGCCTCAAGAGGGGAGCAGCAGGGAGAGATGTTAATAAGGTTGCAAGACTAAGATTAAGGGCAGACCAGAACCAGCTCATGCTGTGCATTGCCAGGGCCTGGCAGCCCCTGGGAAGCAGGAGCCCTCAGCTGGGAATATCCGGCCTGTACACCAGAAGCCAGGCCCAGACACACACCTTTGCTGGCTGGCTGATGTCAAGAAAGAGGGGAAGGAAGTGCGCAGGGAACGAATGGAGGCAGACAAGGATGCCACGACAGGCCACGCGGGGACAGCCCTGAGCCAGGCTGTCCCTTCCCTCTGGTAGCCAGCTGAGGCCATTCTTGATGGTGTCTTGTACTTACCCCGCTCCATTCCACGCCCATACTCACTTCCTCGCTACCGTCTGTGGCATTCTCGTACTTGACGCTGCCCCCCAGGCTCCGACGTCTCTCTGTGCCATCGCCCTCCTTCAGGATCTCCACCACCTTTGTCTGGTTGATTGGGTCAATGCCCTGCAAGTAGAAAGGGATAAGGAAGCACCAGGGTTTGCTCTTCTGTGTTCTTTCCCTTTAGCGATCTGCTGTGCCATCACTGTGCTTGGTCCCATCCTCTCTCTTTACCATTGCCCCATCACAGCCAAAACTCTCCAGCACAGGAAGCATGGAGCCAAATGCCATCCTGCACTTAGCAGTCCCTGTTTGGGTTCCCAGCTCAGCGAGCCCCACACCAAGCCGTAAACCATCCTGGGGGACAAAGGGCTTTCTACCCCAAAGCTGACACCTTTTTTTCCTTCCCATTTTGGTGTGTGAAGGTTTCTGCTGTCCTTCAGTCTTTGCACTAGGTGCTTAAAGCTCCTGCTTTATTATTTGAGCACAAGAGGGGTAGAGGTACTTTAAGAAATCCCTTGTGTGTTTCCTAAACAAAAAATTAGTGGGAAGAAAACATCCCAGTAAGTGCAAATCTCCTAAGTAGCTAACAAAGCCCAGTAACCTGCCCTAGCCCAGCTCCAGTATTTCCGCACTCAAAGAGCCATGCCTTCTTCCCCACACATACACACACTGAAGTCTGCTCCATCCATGCACACATGCACAACCCCATACATGTATACACGTGTGTACTCCTGCACAAATGCAGCCCCAACCACCAAGGCGCTCTGGTGTCATAGGAACATAAACCAAAGATATCAGAGGCTACAAGGCCCAGGAGAGTCCCTCACCACACCCCAAGCTAAATGCTGTGCCATGACCTGCCACTCCAAGCCCCACAATACCCCCTCCACCAAAGAAAGTCCCTCTGGGGTTACCTGCCGCCGAGAGCGAACTGCACACTCCTCCAAGGTCTCAGCTGCCTCTAGCTTGCCCTGGCGTCGGTACAACGCACCCAGGTTCCTCAGAGTGGTGTTCACAGTCGGGCTGTAGTAATAGATGGAAGGTGAGCAGGAGCCCTGGGGCCACCCCCTCCAGAGCCCACAGCTGCCCACAAACCACCTCTTACCTGCTAACCTTACAGGCCTTATACCAGCCGCCATACTCAGCATAGGGAGCACTGTCTCTGTGCTTGCTCTACAAGGTAAAGAGAGAGGAGAGCTGTTAGCCCCATGCCTACTGCCATTCTCGGGTCTGTGCTCTCCCACTAGGTGCCATGGTCAGGCTCCAGGCTGCACCCCCGCACCAGCCCAACCTTTGGAAACAAAATGTGCAAATGCAGAGATAGCATTCCTGGAAGGAAAGCCAAAAGCTCATTTGCTGCAATAGATTTGGGCCCCAAGTAGAAGTGATGTCCCCACCCCAGCAAGGAGCATAATCCCATCTCCTTGTCCCTTCCATAGTACCAAATGCAGCAGGGACAACACAGCACATCCTCACAGTGCTCTGGAGGACATGACACACACACCCCCCAGCATGCAAAAGACAGACCAAAAAAAAAAAAAACAAGCCACCCCAAAACCAAACCAAAACCCCACAACCTCCAACCAACAAAAACCCCATAGGCATGCCAGGCAGCATGGGCACTAAACCCCTGAGCCATGGCTAGCAAAGGAATCAGCCAGCCACATACAAGCCTTCTGCCTACAAGGTCAGGCCTGCCCCACAGCAGCTCAGCCCAGCTAGCCGTCTCTTCTCCATGCCCAGCCTTTGCACCCCAAAGCTGGCTGGCCCTGCCACAGACAGAAGCAAAAAGGCTGCTGGCCAGAGCAACAAGAGAGGGGGCAGAGCTTGATGCTCAAGGAGAAAGATCTAGGGCTGAGACAACCCACTCTGCAGGGCACTAGCTGCTACCCAGCATTGCCCTGGGTCATGGCACCTGCAGACAGAAAGTCACCACTGCTGCGGGAGCAGGGCTGCCTGTCCACACACTGTACTCCCTGGTGCATGGCAAGCACTTGGGGGTGTGCCACACCCCTGGCTCTGCACCCACAGGACACATGGGCTGGGCAGGAAGCACCCAGCTCAGCCCCAAGACCAGCAGGGCTGCTCTCACCAAGCAGGTGCAGGGGCCACTGCTCCACAGCAAGAGTCTGTCTGGCAAGGGCTCTAGCCCAGAAGAAACTGTCTTCACAGGGAAGATTTTTCTTACTTGGTCCCACAGCACTTGTTAGATCTTTACCCCACATGCAGGAGTCTCCTTGAGCCATAGGCACACATGGATTTTCTTGTGCCAGAACCTACCCAGCCTGGGTAGGCCCCAGGGACAGGAGAGTTCAGGACTCAGAACACCACTGAAGCTTGCATAGAGGCAGCCCTAAGAGGGTAGCTGAACCCAAGGGGAGAGGTGTCAAACTCCCTGGGGCAGAAAGAGCCTTGCAGGCCAGGGCTGCCAGCTGGGCCCAAGGCCCTGCTGCTGGCATGAGCTGGCCTCCCCCTGCTGCCACTGAGAGCAGACGGAAAGAGGGGTGGGTGGGGGAAGAAATGAAGCTCTGCAAGAGAGGTTTGATGCTTTTTAATAGGAGATTTGGAAACAGCACAGAGCAGAGCACAGAAGCCCCAGCCCCTAGGCCAGCAGTACAAGCAGATCTGTTGGTTACCGCTGCCTGGCCAGAAGACCATGCCAACCATGCCATGCCATGGGGCATGAGCATGGCTGCCCTAGAAACAGGAGCCCCAGCAGCAGGGAAAAAGGCTCAGCCCTTGCCCCAGGCTGTAAAATTAATTACACTCCAAGTGTAGGTCCCCCCCCAAGCACAGGCCTCATAGCAAAGCTTGCATTGTCTGGAGCATAGTTCCACATTACAACTATCTACTTTTGACCTCTTAATTCTCCAAAGATATTATCAGAAGCATCTCGGTCCCAGAGGGCACAAGGGGACCCTGGTCTCTACTCCAACTTTGATTTCTCCTGCATGTGATGGTGCTGGCAGCAAGTATAATTTCTTTGCAGCAGAGCCCTCACAGGGCAGCAAGCGGAGCAGCGCAAGGTGGAGCTGAGCACTGCCCTGCACTGGGGACCACAGAGCAGTTCAATGGGAAGGCACAGCTTACTTGTGGGAGGCAGCTGCTAGTGCCCTGCTCTTAGGGCTCACAGGATGGGACAGATAAGTCACTAAGCCAAGCCCACCAGCCTGCTGTCTGAGCCTATGTAGGAATGGGGCCTGCTCTGAAGGCAAAGGAAAAGGAGAGAGTCTGCTCCCACTGCAGCTAGAAGACTAGATCAGAGCCCTTCATTCTGCTGCTTCATCCACCTGCCAAAAAGTAGGTGAGATCTTAGGCTTGGGAAAAGCAGAGACAGGACTCTGCTGCATTTATCAGCTGAGCATGGAGCAGGGCCTGGGCAACAGAAGCAACAGCTCCTGTCTACCCTCTTTCAGAGGCCAGCTAGGGCATAGAACAGCAAGGGCCTGCCCTGTGTAGAGATCTTTTTCAGGAGGTTTGGCTCCATTTCCTAAGCAAAGTGACAGCAGCAGTTTCTTCTTGACCTCCATTTTCCTCGAGGCAGCCTTAGGGCTGCTTCAGAAGCAGGTTGTGCCCTGGTACTAGCAGCTCTTTGGAACAGAGCGCTAAGGTCCTGCAGCACAACCCTGCGCCATCCGCCATCTTCTATCGTCTGTGTGCCCTAGGGGGATCACTGAAGCAAAAAGAGAGAGTATGCAGCCATGGCCAAGAGGCTGAACAACCCCCTGCCCCAGGAAAAGCATCAAGCTCTCTGATGGGCCTTCCCTTCCTGCTGCTTCAAGGAGCAGCCATGTTCTCTCCCCACTCTTCCAGACCCCTCCTGGCCTTCATCAGTGGCCATGGCAGCTCTTTAGACTGCAGGAAGGAGGGTCTGGCTGTGATAAGACAGGATCAAACCCCCTGGATCTCCTTCCCCTCCCAGGGCTCTTGCCGCTGTCAAGGGGCAGCGCCTCCAAGCTCAGACTCACCTTGCTCATCTCCTCTCTCTCCTCTGCATGCATCCAGATTGGCTTGTGTTCATCTGTGTGGGGAAGAATGCAAGACAGCTCTGCTCACCACCTCACCCTGTTGCTCTGCCACTTCCACTGGGGCTCTGCCTCCTGCACAGCCCAGCACTCTGCCCTCAGAAATGGCAGCTTACCAGAGGGAAGTGACAAGGCTTCTAAATCCCCTGGTCCCTGGGCCAGAGCAACTGACATTACCAGGACAGGGGAAGGAAGGAACGAACGAATGAACAAGTCCTCCCATGGTGCCAGGCATACAGGAGGAACTTTAGCCTATACCTGGGAATGATTGTGCCACTTGCTAATCCCCTTTTAGCCAAAATTATTTTCAGCCCAGTAAAGACGGAAAGCCAGAGCTCTCTAAGATCCCTTTCTGAGAGAAGAGGTGGAGCAGCATAACACACTAGAACAGCAGTGTCTCAAGGGCTGCCCAAAGCAGGGGTCCTGCAAGGCATCCTATCCCTCTGCCAGGGGGATACCAGAACCAGCCAAGCCTAGGCTGAGAGCCAGGAGACCAAACTGCTCACCCTTCCCCAGCCCCAACAGCTTCTGCTGTACAAACCATCCACAGAGCCAAACTCCTTCACGTGAGCACGGGTAAGGATCTCCTTATACAGCGCCTCTGCATCTTTGTATTTGCCTTGCTTCAGGTAACAGGAGGCCTGCAACAAAGAAAACAGCTCCAGCCCCACTGGACAACACAGATTAACTTCTCTCCCCCCACCCCCTCCCCACCTCTTACAGATCTCTCTCTCCATCTTCCAAGCACCAATGCTCACCTTTCCCACAGCACCACTCCCCATCCCCACACAGCCTCTCCCCAGGGTCTCACCAGGTTGTTCTTGGTCTTGGCCACGTTGGGGTCATCAGGACCCAGGCAGCTTTCGTAGATCTCCAGGGCCCGGCAGTAATAGTACTCCACCTCATCATACTTGCCCTGGTTCTGGCACAGCAGGGCTAGATTGTTCAGCTGCTTGGCCACATCAGGATGGTCTTTGCCTAGGACCTGTGTAAACAAAAGAAGAGAAGCCACAAAAAGTCAGTGCTTAAAGACTGCCGTGGACTCCTGGAGTTAATTGTTATTAATAACACTGTATTCCCTCCAGGACATGCCTGTGTCAGAGAGGAGCCAAGGACTAGGGAGGTAAAGAGGAGAAATACCAGCTTCCACCTCCTGGCAGGCCTCTCTAAGGCTGCAAACACTGGAGAGACAGGAAAGGCGGCGGCAGAATTGGCAGCCAAAGAGACTAGGTAGGTCCTGGATCTCCCAGGTGCTGTGAGGTAATGGGGGAAAACCCTAAGGGACAGCTGGAGGGAAGGAAAGTGTGGAAGACCAGTACCTTCTCACGGATCTCCAGGGCTCGCTTACACAGTGGCTCTGCTTCTTTGTACTTCCCTCTCTTGCCATAGAGAACAGCCAGATTGTTCAAAGTTGCTGCCACCTGCAGAGACATAAAGTTCCCCATGAAACAAAGTAAAATCCAGTGGGACCAAACAAGGGGTGTAAACAACAGTGACTGTCCCATTTCCTTCATGCCTACAGTACAGCTGCTTCTTATAAGAAGAAGGTCCAGAAGCAGAAGGCTACCCTGCCTACACCCCAGGATCCAGGAGAAGCCAACTCCTGACAGGGCACACTGAACAAGACAGCAGGAAATACTGAAGCAGTAAAACAAAGCCCCATACCCCGCGAACAGCAACCCTCACATCACAGAGCACACTACTGTCCTTGGTAGTCCAGCTGCAGACACACCATAAGGGCACCCTTCTATCCCCAGCAGCACCCACAGGTCAAGGGAAGTGAACTGGAAGAGGAGGGAAACACTCACCGCTGGGTGGTCTTTGCCCAGAGTCTTCTCACGGATGGAGAGAGCATCATTCAACAGGTGTGCTGCCTCTTTGTATTTATTCTGATCCCTGCAGTGCAAAGCCAACCAGTTATTGGGGATTTGGACACCACAGCCCATAGCAAGCAGAACTATGAATAACTGTCCTCCTTCCACACAGATCCAGCCCCCACAACCCTTTCATTTCTCCATTCCTCCCCTACCTTAGCCAGTTATGTCAGGGAGTTGGGCAGTCCAAATACCTCATCTGTGCCAAAACCTTTTTGAAAGGCAAACCACTGGAAGCTGAGGGACCTCCCTGTCTCCAGAATGTGCTGTCCTGGTAAGTGGGAGAGGCAGAAAACTCTCCCGGCCCAGTCCTGCTCTCCCTACCATGCTCACCTGTACACCAGTGCCAGGATGTTGAGCATGGTGGCCACATCAGGATGATCGTGGCCTGATGTCTTCTCCAGGTCCTCCAGTGCCTGCTTGCAGAGCGGCACAGCCACCTCATAGCGTCCCTGAGAGGCGTACTGGATGACAAGGTTGTGGAGGGTGCGCAAGCGTGCAGGAATCTCATAGCCTCCCTGCTGAGCAGCTGCCACTGCACTGCTGTGCTGGTGGGGCACTACAGGCACAGATGAATAAACAGGGGCACAGTTGGCACAGCATGCTTGAACAGAGACAGCCAGCAACCACGCACAAGCAAACACTTACATCCAGGACCATGCTCCTCCTCCTCATTTGGGAAAAGATCATCTAGGGAGTCCTTGGCAGATTCACCCTCCTTCTCCTCCTGAGAAGATGGGAATCACAATACTGTTAGTTCTCAGAGAAGACAGCAGCAGCCTGAGCTTAGTCAGCTGCCAAACTCTCCTCCCTGCCTGCAGCCCACTAACACCCTCAACTTTCCCTGTTGTCTCTGCCACCATCTTCCCCCCACACAACAAAACTAATAAAGCCAAATTTCCACAGCACACCCTGGCATGCTATTCCATGTTCTTCCAGGGACTCTGCCCCATGCAGGGTGCCTTTAGTTACAGGCATTGCTATGCATGGTAGCTGGGAAGGGGCAAAATCTAGGGCAACACTATCACACCTAGGCAATCCTGCTGGTCCAACCTCCCCCACCCTCAAAGGTGGCTGCTCAACCGGATTAGGACATACCGAAGGTGAGACGTCCTCATCATACTTCTTCAGCTGGTTCATGAACTCAAGGTGTTTCTTCTCCTCCTCCAGCTGAGCCACAGTTTGCTCACTGCGCTGCAGCTTCTGCTGGGTGTTGGCAAGCTCGTCACGCAGCCACTGGTTCTCCTGGCACAGTCTCCGCACCTGAGCACGCAGCTTCTGCTTCTCTGACTCCACAGCATTCAGATGGTTGGACAATGCCATCATCACCTTGTCAAAAGTCCCAGTCAGTAACTACCACAATCCTGTATCTCCCTTACTTGCATGCTTAGGGCCCACCCTCAGGGTCATACTGGCCTTCTGCACTCAGCCCCTTGCTGCCCCTGCAGCTTATGGGGAATGGCCACATGCCCCCCTTCCCCTGTCCGTCCTGAGTAATGCCTATGGGATCACCCAGCACTCTCACCTGAGCTTCTCCGAGCCCCAGTTCAATCATCTCCACTGACTTGCGAAGCAGGTTGGATTTCTCATGCACGAGATTAGCTTCTTCATCTTTCTTCAGGCACTTGATGGTCTCCAGCAAGCTGTGCAGGATGGAGTTGTGTTCATTCTTGAGTGCCTCCAGTCCTTGCATCACCAACTTGGTGTTGGAAATTATCTCCTCTTGGCTCAGCTTGTCCAGTTTCTCCTCCCTTGGGTACACCATGGTGGACATAGTGCTGCTCCTGCAGCCCTACAGAGACAGAGAGACAAAACCTGACCACCTCAGTGTTGTTTCAGAGAGCCACAAGTGTCACAGCCTCCTTTAAATAGCCAGGCACAGCGTTCAACTGGTTGCCCACTCTAAGCCCTTCCCTTTCATCTTCTCCTTTCCCTTTGGCAGCAGGCAGCTGTCAGGGCATGTGTCTCTGCTTTTGTGGCATGAAGTGCTGGCAACCAGTGCAAGTGGCACACGTGGACAGGAGACAAAAAGGCTAGAATCAGTGCTGACCTCCAACACCCCCACACTCCCAGCAGCAAGGAAAGCTGATTTAGCTTCCATTTAAGAGCAGAGATTTGTAGTTGGCAGCTGGGGTTGCAAACGTGTACACCTCCTACCCACAGACCACTGCTGCAAGGAGGCTGTCAGAGCAACACCTCTCCTGACTGCAGAAGAAAGGGAACAGAAAGTGGAGGGATGCCAGCTCTAAACTTTCTGCTTCCTCAATTCAAAATCTCCTGGAAGAGCATCTCTCAGACAGGGAGGCGTCAGTGGCTTTACTGGGCCAAACAAAAAATTCCCTGACCAGAAGAGTACACCCTGACAATCCCAGCCCCAGCACAGAACGGAATGGCCATTGTGGTGATAAGGAACATAACACTGCCAGCACAAACTGAATTACGCCTGTGTGGGAAAGCTTATGTACACCAACTGCTACAGTTACACTAGTAACTGTGTAGTAGAGGCACTGGTGGTTTAACACACAGCTCAGTGTTTTCTCAGCTGAGGAGTAGTTCTGTGCACAGTGGAATTAATGAGGCCGATTTTCTATGGATCTGGGTCTTGTCTGACTCTGTTATCTAGCAAGGTGCAACCTTGTGTGGGTGTCAGCTTGAAACATTAACAGCTTTTCCAGCTTCATTTGCCCTGCTGCCCAAGGACTCCTCAGGGTGGCATAAGGACTCCATACCCCTTCCCTGTCCCATTCGCCCCAGACATACAATTGGAGAGTACCAAGCTGCTGCCTTTGCACAGGGACACCAAGTGCTACAACCCACAACGTTCACATGGCTGCAAGATCCCTACGTAGAAAATCCAGGAGCTAGGGAAGCGCAGCAGCCCAGAGGGTGAGAGATGTAAGAAGCAGGCAAGATCCCTTATAGCAGGTTGACAGTACACTGGCTGCTCCATGACTCACTTACCTAAGCCCCTCTCAGCCTCCTAACCCCCTAGTTGGGCCACCCCAGCAGACTCTTCACATTACTCAGCGAGGGCAGGAAAGCTACCACCAACCTTGCTATCGGTCACTCCGAGACCAGCCTTCTGGCAGGGCTGAAGGCAGCCAGCTGCGATGCCCTGCGCAAGCAGCGCCCCCCCAGCAGCAGCGCCCCCTGGAGCTGGCAGGAGACGCTGCAGCCTGAGTACCCGGGGCCCTGCTGTCAGGAAGCTGGCAAACCGCCCAGGCATTACGCAGGAGGAGGTGGGGGAAGAGCTGCCAACATATTTGTCTTTGTCCTCCTGCGGGACCCACCTCTGCATGGTTTAAGCTCTTTGTTCGGCAGCAGCCTTGCGCCTGGTTTACTGAGCGAGCAGAAATGCTGCCCCACGTACGGGAACAGAGAGAGCAGAGCTCCTCTTCCTGGCAGGGATTCTCTCCTCCCCAAATGTGTGCTCTGCTCAAGGGGGCTCAGGGCAAACCCCCAGCTCAGCTACCACTATCCCTGCCCTGGAGTAGGCTCTGAGCAATAGAGGGGTCCAGTTTCTTCCGCAGCACTGAAAGTGAAGATGGCAAACAGTGATGGGGCAGTTGCTGTAAGTACATAGAATCATAGAATGTTTTGGGTTGGAAGGGACCCCTAGAGGTCATCTAGTCCAACCCCCCTGCAGGAGCAGGGACACCGCTAACTAGATCAGGTTGCTCAGAGCCCCATCCAACCTGGCCTTGAATGCTTCCAGGGATGGGGCCTCCACCACCTCTCTGGGCAACCTGTTCCAGTGTTTCACCACCCTCATTGTAAAGAATTTCTTCCTTATATCCAGTCTAAACCTACCCTGGTTTAGTTTAAAACCACTACCCCTTGTCCTGTCACAGCTGGCCCTACTAAAAAGATTTTCCCCATCTTTCCTAGAGGCCCCCTTTAGGTACTCAAAGGCCGCAATCAGGTCTCCCCGCAGCCTTCTCTTCTCCAGGCTGAACAAGCCCAACTCCCTCAGCCTGTCCTCATAGGAGAAGTGCTCCAGCCCTTGCATCATTTTTGTGGCCCTCATACATCTCATTATACCCATCCATTTCGCCCTCTTTAGCCTCACTCTTCCAGAAGTTCCTTGGGTTGTTTTGTAGGCCTGACTTCTCCTCTCAGCTCTTCTTTTGTTTCTGTTCTAGTGATGCACATCCATGCCTCGGGAAGAGCAGCAAATTCTCAACACAAAGCAGAGACCTTACTGAACCTCAGCAGGGCATAAACACTTCATGTCTCTTGAAGACTGGGTTCCTGTTCATACCTTTGAGCAAGAGCTGAGTCCCCACCTACCCCAGACTCACAATGCTGACTTATCCAGTAACAGCACCAACCCTGAGCCATACTTCACTCTATCCTTCACTTTGTGGATCTGCCATGCTCCACATGCAGTTACCCTGTGCATTGCACCTTTTACCCTGAAAAGTCTCATCTTAACTGTGACATTTCCCAGCTTGCTTTGGAGAAGACCATATGATAAGAATGACATGAAAAACCTCACTAAGATCAAGATAGAGGGCATAGACTACTGTTTCAAAGAAAACAATACATCTGTTGAGAGTTGGCTGCCACTCATATCCTGTCTTCCAAATTGATTCTCCAGGAACTGGCAGTTAAGCATTCTGGTCCGTAATTCCCCTGGTTATTCTTTTTCAAGCCTTTTAACACATCTAGGGGAGTGATGAGTGCTAAAGCCCAGGTAACAACTGCTAAAGGGTGAAATGTCCCCGTCACTGGTTTCAGCTCATAAGGAAACACAGCCCCAGACTCAGAAACAGGGAAATCAGGAAGTGGGAGTCCTCTGGAGTGTAGGCAATGCTTGGGACACAAGGAGATCCCCAGGAGCAACCTCATACCCAGCATACAACAAAACTAGAGCTCTGCCCCAAGGCTCACACAGCTGAGCAGCACAAGTGCCTCTTCATCTCTCCCTCAGTGTACTGGGTCAGCTGTGAAATGCTGACAGTTTTAATGGAAGCATTACTTATGTCCATACAGAGATCTCGCCGCCATCTTTAAAAAGTACAATAAAAATACATTGGGAAGAGGAACATATTACAAATCATGATAAAAAGCCACCAGAGCTTGCACCTTGCTAGATAACAGAGTCAGATAAGACCCAGATCCATAGAAAATCAGCCTCATTAATTCCACTGTGCACAGAACTACTCCTCAACTAATTGCTGAGCTGTGTATTAAACCAGCAGCATCACTACTACAGCAACTTCCTGTCTTTCTTCAGCTCTTCCAGCAGAATAAAATTTGACCATTTCACAGTCCACACCATCAACTTGTTTTTCAGAACAGTAAAGATTTTAGGCTGAGAAGGGAAAATAATTGAAACATCAGACCTACCCTGCAACTACATCCTCAGATCCTCAAGACATATCAGTACAGGCTCCTCTTCTCTCACTGGCTCTGCAACCCCGATCTTTCTCCCCTAGAATGACATCCTAGAAGCACAGCTTTGCTAGGTACCAACATGCTTCCAGTATTAAAGGGTGGACAGGGGACTGTCCAGGCTGGACATGGGGTGCAAAACCGCACATGGGCTATTCACTTCCAAGTACCAACAAGAAAACAAAGAAAAGAATGCAAAGAAGTCACTTAAATGCTGCTACCTCTTGCACAGCAAAGACAACCAACAAACACCAGTTGGAGCTGACTTATCTCTCCAAAGTGACAATTCTTCCCTACAGAGCCTTATTTCTAGCTCTCCCCAGTGCTGGCAAGTCTACACGTGGTGCCCAGCCCTCCAGAGAAGAAACATGCTCTATAGTAACCAATACCAAGGTCAGGCAGGCTGAGGCTGCTGTATAAGCACTCTTCCTACTCCCACACATTCAGTAAAGGGCACTGAGCGTCCCTTCTCCAGGCAGAAAACGCTCTTGGAGGTTCCTGCAAGAAAGGAGTGGAGACACCATCATTTGCCTTTGGCAGGGGGAGGTTCAGACGGGAATAGGAAGAAAAGAATGCTTTTCCAATTAGTTCCTTGGGAGCTGGAGTGCCCAGCTCCTAGTTTATCCTGCTGCATTTCTCGCAGCTCTGCAGGTGTCATGGCACAGGTCTCCACCAGCAGGTTTCTGCTGTAGTTGGCATGTCTTCCCTATCTACAGTGAACTGTTAGAATAGCCTGGCTTTCCGGCAACATCCATGTCATCTTCCCTCTCCTGCTCCCATTTGGAGGAGTGCTGCAGGAAGACAGAGAAGGAACATGCATGTATGGAGCTTTGTGGCAGTTGCATCAATCAACTGGGAATCCATCAGCTAGCAAATCCTGCCAGGCAGAAACCTTCCTCCTGTATTCAAGGGCATAACCAGGAAATCACCGAGCATCAGCAATTTCAGCAGCCCGCTTTTCTGCCTTTGAAAACTGCTCCCATATGCAAGAACTTTAAGAGGAAAGAGCTGGAAGCATCGCTGCTTCTATCTTAAACCTACAACCACTGCCATAACAGAAACAAGGATGCCAGATTAAGTAAGTCCAAGTGAATCTCAAAGCTTAGATTATGCCCGACCCTAGAAGACTACAGAGAGCAAAAAAAAAAAAATAAGCGTGAGGGATCAGGAGTTAACTACAATAGGACAGAGACTTCAGGCCTCAACAAGTTCAGTTCACTGTCTCCCTGCATAATCCTGGACCAAGTATATGAGGGATACAGGGTACCGGCACAATTTGCACAAATAATACTGTCAAAACAACAACTGGAGCTTCCTTCAAACCACCGATGGCCTGCAAGCACTTTCTGTATAGGAGCGGGCACAGATTTTTAGCAGCAAACTCTTCTGTAGGAGAAGGAGATTTAAGAATATAGTAATTGCAATAAAACAGCAGGGTTCTAGAAAAAAAGCTTCCTGTGGAAAAGAGTAAGTCTGACCCATAGCAAGAATGAGTGACCACATTTGGGAGACAGACAGCAATGGTAGCATTTAGAAATAGAAACACAGGGCTTAAAGTCTTATTTTCACAATAATTACCCCAGTCTCATGCTGAGAGACATGCTTTTGCTACCTGGAGAAACAGCAAGATTATGTTTTTGGGAAGCAAACTGTTAAACAACAGAATAAAGGGTCTCTGGAAAGACTGGTTCACCTCCAACGAAGCTAGAAGCAAGATCACCTCCTAAGGGATACTGCAACAAAACCTAGACCTAATACCATGGGCTGAAAAAATAAAACAAAGGCAGTAAAAAGCAAACAGTGTCAAGGTTGTAACCATCACAGAGGCTCTGTCATGAGCACAAGTTTTACTCCTTATTTTGATACCATAGCATCAGAAAGCAAAGAGAGACTGTAGGAGACTAGTCATCTGCACAGAGCCTCTGAGGCTTCCACTGCACAGCCAGGACATACTGACACTGCCAGGAAACTTGCACACTGCCACACCACTGCGCTAAGGGTCAACATCCCAGGCCAACTGCAACAGAGCCACAGAAGAGAGACAAACTGGTGCTGCTGAGCTGCACATACAATAGTCAGCATTCCCAGAGCCGCTCCAATAGGAGTAAAACAAGAAATATAATCAGCTCTGTATGGTGCCCAAGAACTTCACAGCTAAGAGCAGCTGCACACACACATGTTAAGGCTTTAGAAACAAAGGCAAGAGAAGGATGTTTTGCAAATGAAGGGATAGATGGGTATGCAGTCAGCTTCAGGGTGATGTTAAGAACTGCAACATGAATAAGCAAGAAATTAGAGGGCAAATGGCAGACTCCTAATAGTAAGAACAGGTGGAATAATTGCAGTGTATTGCTCCATCCCTGGATATGTGCTTGCTGAGGTTCAGGGGAGGCATAGAGCAGGAATGTGCTCTGTGACGCTTGTTACCACTGCCAGAAATGTCCATCTCATGCTCCCTTAGAGCCACTAAGAACACATGAAGAGATCAGTTAGGGGTCAGGACCCTGGGACTTCATACCCAACATCTGAGCTGCAATCCCAAAGCCGAAAGATGTCACTCAGACTCTGACGTGCATGAGGTCCTCTGCCACCATTTGTCTCTGGCTCATGAGTTTCTCCACCCTACTGCCAAAAAAGGGGGCACCTTAGAGCCCCATCTTCTGCTTGTTGTTCTTCCCCAACCCCAGCCTGGACCTTTCTTGCACTGCAGACAGTGTAGAATCAAACCAACACACAGATGACTTCACATATCATAGGGAGACTATTGTGTTGCAACTTGCTCCCGAATAAAAAGAGTCTGGCTGTTGTACTACTTGGAAGGGATGCCTAGAGGTCTCTGGTCCATCCCCTCACTCACAACAGGTGTCTGATCAGGTATCTGTGTCTAGTCAAGAGTTGAGTATCTCCCAAAATGGAGATCCCACAAGCTCTTCAGACCCCTGACCCATGGCTTAACCATCATCATGTGGGAGGAAAAAAAAAAAAAAAAAAAAAATCCTCATCTGAATTCCTTAGATAACCTCCTTATTACTAAGGAGTAATTTGCTCTACATCACTTCAGGACAAAGGGGTCAGGCACCACAGCACTGGAAACTGACCCTAAGCCCAGAGGAAGGGAATACAGCATATGCCTCCTTTCAGCAGGGTCCCATGGGGACAGGGTCCCTCTGTCCCAGAGCAAGAGAGCGGAGACAAAGAGCTGTCTCACCCATGTTCTCGCATGCCCAAAACCCAGGACTCGCCTTAGCATCCAAGCATCCCCTTGCATGGTTTTAAAGCCAATCTCCAAGCCCAGAAAGGCTTCACGCAACCAGCTTCCCCAACCTTTGAGAGTCATGTGTAACTCAGCACAAGTTGACCGTGCTGTTGGAAACAGCCCAGCCCTCCCTATCCCCTGGAGAGGGATGAAGGTCAGGATTGCTTCTTTAGGCAGCAGCTGACACATGCCAGCTCTAGCTGAGTGTGAAGCTCCAGGGGGTTTTCTAGATACTGGAAGTACTGTGTTGGGAAAGTCTGTGCTAACCAGCAGGTGGCAAGCGCCCCAGGGGCTTTCAACTAGGACTGAGGAACTAGATTCGAAGCTCCAGTGGAAGGGCTCTTCCACAAGGAGATAGGAGGCTCCCTTCAATCTCTAACAGAAAACACACCATAGCATAACCTTCCTGAAACCTAAGGCAAGGCAGCGGCAAGCCGGCTTTACAGGGACTTGGCCACAGTGACTCAGATTCACATCACTACAAAAAGGACCTGGGAGCTTCCCATCCCCCTCCCGCTTTTCAACCCACAGCTGGAAATGGCAAATCAAAAGCTACTAGGGTTTGTTCTGATTGACCAGAGCAAGCAATTCCTCTGTTACCAAACCATGACCCAATTCCAATAAGCATATGTGCTCTAAGGAAGACAGAGGAGATAGTCTGGTTGGCTACGTTATCATATTATTCCTTTAAAGACCGATTCATTAGCAATCAAATACAGGCACTGGAGGCAACAAGGGTTAAAAAAACCCCAAACCAACCAATCAAAAAAACCCCCAAACCCTAAAACAGCACTGACATGTGCCATTAGCAGAAAGCCATTTTACTCCTTATTGCAGTTCACGCTGTTTACAACCCCAGCCGGCCAGGGAACACGCACCTTTCAGCAGGCCATCGGAATCAGCACAGCAGTCTTTACTACCCCCACCAGCAAGCTTGTGCTAGCACCTCCAGATCAGCTGATAAGACCTTGTTTTTAAACTCTTGCAGCAGCTCACCAAATCCATTCTGCATCTGCTGTGCCTAGGACTACAGCAGAACACCATTAAAACCTGTTTCCAGGCTAATGGACACAAGAGCTAAGCAGCTGGAATGAAGCCAGCACAAGCATCTCTTCCGAGCTTCAGAATCTGATTGGCAGTCTCACTCTGTTAAAGACAGAATGAGAGCCACTACCTTGCCTTGACAGCATGAAGTAGTATTAAAGCAGGCAGAATAATTTGCAGGAGCCAGTGCCTCTGCAGGCATCTGTCTAATGCAAGGGCTATGCACTGGATGTGCCTCAGGAGTATGGGAGATCGTCAGGACACAGCTGGGACCAGAAAGTGCCCTGGAGCTATTCTGTGTGCCCTGGAGGGCTCTGGAGTGCCCCACTCCCTCCATGGTGTACCTGGGGCAGCTGTGAAGACCAGCTGACTGTAGGTTGCAAGACCGAGCTATTATTTCCAGAAGCAAATGGGTCCTGTAAACCATAAGAAGGCAGCCAAATTCAGAGGCAAAGCTCTACCTGCATAGTAAGAAAAGAATAATTTTTACCTCTGGCTCCCCCCCACCAGCTGGAGTTCTCTGAGAAGCTACACCGCTCCTTCCTAGCAAATCAAGCTTTTATCCAGCAACCCTGACAAGGTCAAAATCTTGCCACGTGTCCTTTGTGCCCTGAGAGCCATTTTGGTATTTGGGGTTAATGCTGTTATTCCTGTCTGGACATTCCTCCAAAACAGCAGATGAGAGAACAAGTGCTTCCTGCTCCTTCTGCCAACTACAGCAAAGCTCAGCCATGTTTATTTATCCTGTGTCTGAGCTGGCCAGATCTTTGACCCGATGTGTGCTGAACACCACCCTTCTTCCCCTCATGCAGAGGCAGGTGCTTTCCATGTCTCCAAGGTGGCATGGGAGGCAGGAGACCAAGGGCACTAGGAGACCCTAGCACGGAGCCACAAGAGAATGCCAGATGCCAGCTATGCAAGACACAGGGAAGCCTGCGGCTGCTGGTAATGTGCCGCTGCCTCCCACCATTGTGCAAATTTCTCCCGGCTGCCTGGCCAGAGCATTCTGCTGCAACGCCATCCCCCAGCCCTTCTTCAGACACCTCCTCCTAGCCGCATCCTCTCCCTTCCAGAAGCTTACCAGCAATTGCCCCCCGCCTTTGGTAGGGTGCACCTCCACTTCAGAGTAGCTTAGTAAGCAGTTTATTAATTGGGAGGAAGGTTTAAGGGGAAACAAGGCTCCGAAAGTCTGAGAGCCATTGCTGTATGCTAGGAGCTGCCTCCGTCATCATTCTCCGGCTTTGTCTAGCAGCAGGAGGCACGCCCGCTGCGTATCCTTGGGACAAGCAAGCCAGAGAAACCCCTTCATCCCTCCTCAGTATCACCACAGAGAAATTCTGTGCCCACCTGGCTAACTGTAAGCTTCCCAAGGAGAAAAGTTTTCATCGGCTCTGCCTGAAATTGTACTTCAAAGCAGTCCTTTGTTACAGAACGGCTGGGCACCCTGCCCATCTCAGTCACCAGATGGGAATCCTCCCCCACCCCACACCACAGAGGAGTGATACCTGGCTGCCTGCAGTGGCTTGTCCAGCGTTGGCACTCCCGGAGGCCCCAGTGCCACAGAGAAGTGCAGGCTGCAGCGATGCACGGCTCCCACCGCGTCTGCCGCACTGCCCTCCGATTCTAGCAGAAGTGCAGGCACCAGGCGCTCAGCAGCCAACCACACTGCAGCAGGGGGAGGGGAGGACATGCAGCCAGGCTCCAGAAACAGGACAGTCAGATGCTCTCCTGGGAGCACAGAAAGCACCACGCACACCAAGCCCAGGGCTCCCTCCTTGGGGACTGATGGAAGCACCAAGGAGCCGAGCCGAGCCCCCAAGCTGCTGCCACATGCTGCCCAAGGGGCTCTACCCCACCACCGGGCTCCTGCTCAGTCTGCCAAAGTCACCCCCACCCTACAACCAGCCAGCTCTGCTCCATCCTACTCTCAATTTTGTGGCAAAAGCTTTTACATCATGTTTCGTATCACCCTCACCTGTGTCCCCACTGCTGACCTCAGCCCCTAAAGCAAAGTAGGTGGAGCTGCGGAGAACTCTCCAGCTGTGCAATTGCTACCACTGTGCCCACAGAAACGACCAGATAGAGGACAAGATCACTGGGAGTCCTACTGTGTCAGCACTGCGCAGTGCAGGGCTGGGCCAGGCACTGCCTAGAAGCATTCATTTGATGTCTAGATGCTTTATGCAGAGATAGGACAAATGCCACAGCATCCCATGTAGCCAGTGGATTGTTGCTACAACCATCCCATCCATAGTAACACAGTGCACTCCGCAATGTTTCGTGAGCCTCTGGAGGCATGCTGTCCCCAACTACCTACATCTGCCCAAGCTAGTGCTCCATCAGGATTCCTGTCCCTCCCCACGGGTTCCCCCAGAGGGCTTCAGGTGTCCCAGGAGGAAGCCCAGCCATGCTGACATGCAGGCCCTCTCCTGCCTCATATGCATATACTCTCTTGCCACACACACGTCTTCACTAGGGCATCTTACTTGTTTCTCTTCCCTTCCCTAGTTTTGGAGGGCAAACCTGGCTGGTGATGGGGTACACACGGCTACAGCACAGTTAAAAAAAAAAAAAAATTAATGTAAGTTACATAACAGGAGTGCAAACACGTATTATTTATCTTACACTGTAAGCCACTCCCGGCAGTGAAGGCACAGCCTAATTATAGAGCTGTGAATCCCGCAGTCGGGAGTCCACAGCACCCTGGAAACAGCCATGACTGGGACTTCAGGCTGTCCCACCATTGTCACAAACACACGCCTCCCTCGGGGCTCCCGGCCTCTGCCAGCCTTCCCTGCCTAGCAGGCAAGAGCACGGGCAGCAGAGCAGCTGGTCCTGCCTGCGGGGAG